AAAATAAAATAAAAAAACCTAGCTCCAGATGTTACATTCACCCTATGCAGTTCCAGGTCATTGCAGCAGAGTAGCGTAGTTCTTGAAGGGTTTTGTCAAGAAGTAAGCTTCTCAAATGTGCAGCACCACCCAAGCATTAATCACACACCAAGAGAACTTGGCTGCCAAGGCAAAAGTGCCCAAGAGAGAAAGAAAATATTCCTACTGATCTCACAAATATATCTAGTACATCTGTCAACAACAACAAAATAATTCCAAGTCTTTTATCTTTTTTATTTCCTTACAGAGTAGAAATTCCCTTTGTGTTTCAGATAGCACAGTCTGGGCTCATCCATGGCCTGGCGTTCTGGTTTGATGTGGCATTTGTTCGATCTCTGTGTGTATACCCCCCACCAACATTTTCTCAGTCTGCTCTACCCCATGCTATCTACTATTTGTAATCACAATTTTAAAGTGTTTAATAATTGATTTCAATGACACTAATTCTTGTTTCTCCAATTTTCAAGGAAATAAACACAGATGTTAATGTTAATTTTAGATTTTAGGAAAAAGTGAAAATGAGATGCTTTTCCATGTGTCATATCAACTCTAACTAAACTATGCAAAGCCTCTTCAGCCAAATGGATTGAGCTTTGGAGCAGTGAGAGAGGGTTTGTGCTTTTTGCACCTCTTTGGTCTTTAACAGAATCGATGGGGTGGTACCCCAGGCCTTTGCTTTTGTTTCTGACACACCAGCTTATACAATCTCTTGTATCCTGATACCTTGAATTATACTTTTCCCGGTTTCGGTTTATGCTCTGGAGTCCTTTGACGATCAGGCAGATGTGTATTACTAATGCTAGTTGCAACATTAGGAAACTTCACTATCTGTGCACCTTCCTATTGCACAGGTTTGAAAGTTGCAGGGAAAAGAGGGGAACGACTACCTACACGTTGGCTGTCACTGTTTTGTGTTCCTTGTGTGGGCTGCACCAGTCCATGGCCCCCAAATCTCTATTCTCTTCCTGACTGCTGTACTCTCTTCCCAGGCTTTCTAGTATGTTCCAACTAGCAAAGAGATCTGTTCTGGGTCACATGCCCAGGTGGAGGAAAATGTTTACCGTGTGCTCTCCTTCATTCCTTGTGAGAATGCCCAGGCTTATCATTGTACCTGCTTAGAAAGAAATGCCCATGGGGCTGTAATACAGCTTGGGGGTCTGGGGGGAAGACTCAAGAGAGGTGACCCCTGGAAACCTTGTCAGAGCTGACAATCTGAGAAGAAAATGAGGCACAAATAACCTTGACTCCATATGAACATGTTTGTTCAAAGAATACATACATTTTCTCCTCTCTGTAATAACCCATGTAAGTGAATTTGGTCCTGTAAGGGTGAGAGAGACAAGTGTGAAGTGGCCTACCTCAAGGGGGAAGTGTCTTTGAAATTAAATGCTTTGTCTTTTTAAAAATATATATAGAGAGAAAATTTGTGGGCTAGCTTGGGCAACATAGCGAGACCCTATCTCACAAAAGGTTTTTTTAAAAATTAGTTGGGCATGGTGGTGAATGCCCGTAGTCCCAGCTACTTGGGAGGCTGAGGTGGGAGGATCACTTGAGCTCTGGGCAACAGAAAAACAGGCCTTGAAACAGGGCAGAAACCCTGTTTCAAAAAAGAAAAAACAGAAGAAGAAGGGTAAGGAAGATTTGCATTCTATTCTATATTACATCTGAGTATATTTTGATATAAAAGTCATTTATATTACTTAGGTAGGTAAATTACATATAATTTTTCCCCAAACCTTCTAGTCAAAATTAACCCTGTAGGAATTTGCCCCATGCTTAATGTGCCCCTTGCTCCCCTTCAGCCAGCAACCACTGCCCAACCCCTGGACAGGTTACCTTGATGTAGAAGCACAGCAAGACTTTCTCACTTTTTCATATGAAATGAGGAAACTCCATTTAACACTCAGGCAGACACACACAGGATGTCTGAGCTGGAAGCATGGTAGACGCCATATGCTCTGGTAGTTTTTCTTGCCTCCAGAAGCCCCTTCAAGACCCCTGAATAGGTTGGCAGGAGTCAGTAAGAGGCCAGACTCCAGACATCTCCCTTTGCTGCACTATCCAAGCAAATCAGCTTCTGATTTAACCTTGTTACTTATTGGGCCTCTATTGAGCTTTGATTCAGAAATACAGGTTGCCATGGTGGCCAAGTCTATCAGTTTGAAGCATGGTTCCCCAGTTGTCCTATGTGATGTTGGGCAAATTGTTTAACCTCTCTGGGCATACTTCATAGGATGATTGTATAGATTTACTA